AGTGAGAATAAACAGGGTGGGGTGAAGAACGAGAAGCTGTTGACCGTGAGAATGTCAACAACTTCAGCCGCACACACACACACACACACACACACACACACACACACACGGCCGACTGTTGTTTTCGTTGCTCCTTTTTGTTTTTCTGAAATAAAAAAAAAAAAAAATCAGAGAAAAGAGAAACCATTTGAATAAAAAACCCTTCCAGCGGTGGAACCAGGCCCCGTGGAACACGCTGGACAAGAAGTGAGCTCAGCAGCGCCTCCTTATGACAATCCTTTTTTCTTCATCAGAGAAACAGAAAGGCAGGTGTTGACCCATAGGGGGCACTCTTCTCATCTGTAGATTTAAAGATAAAGGCCTGTAAAATGTTCTGCCTTAAATGTGGAGAAAAGACGACTCCGTCAGACCCCCCCCCCCCCCCGCCGCCCCCCCGACGTCTCCCTGAGTTTCAGGTTCCTAGAAAGACCCTCTTCTTCCCCCAGCAGGGGAACAAGAACCCCCCCCCCCCAGAGCCGAGCCACAGAACCCACCAGCCCGTCTCAGCTCCTGCCACTCTTCTCGCACACTTTCCCCGACAGCCCCTGGGAAAAGGTTGCGAGCCCCCCACCACATCGACCACAGGGCTCTGACGCGGCGCCCTCCGTGCACATCAAGGTGAACGCCGCGCCGTTCAACGCTGCTGGGGGGAACGGAGGGAGACGTCTGCAGAAAAAGGAGCGCTGTGGTTCAGTTCAAATGGGATTTGAGTCTGAGGTCAGAGGTCAGAGAACTCGAGAGTTGGTTTGGAACAAAGTGTAGAAATGTGCTGAGGTCAAGAGGTCAAGAACACCTGCTGTGATGTCACTGTGACACAACAGACCAGAAAACAGACGCACAGACTGGTCCGGTCTGTAGGAACAGAACTGCTGGGACGTCGTTCGCACGGACCAATGGAAACGCCCTCTTCAAACCAGGAGGCACGTGATTGGTTGGTTAAAACTCCGTCCGTCGTCGGCTGCAGGAAGTGAGACATAAATAAATCAATAAAATACATTTTTGTTTTAGAACGACAAGACTTAACGTTACATTAGCGTTTTTGTAAAAAACGTGTAAAAACAGAAAAACGTAGTGAAAAGTTTTCAACGTTGATCTATGGGTTTTTGTTACCGTTTTATTGAGTTTGTTTTATGGTATAAATGGAAGGGATTGAAGTAGTAAAGTAGTAAAGTAGTAAAGTAGTAAAGTAGTGTTAGGTCCAACGACTTTGTCCTCGACTCTGGTCTGAAGGAAACTGGTTATTTCACAGTTAAAAAGAAGAAGTTCTCCACGGCCGCAGCCTGTGGTTATTTTTAAAAACATCTCCGTTTGTTTCTGCTGACGTTTGATGTGGGTTTTTTCACCTTCTGATCTTTAATCACAGTTATTAATATAACGATCCAACTGAAACGGAAGCAGGTCGACTGAGGATCATGAACCCGCCACAGTGATGTCATCATTGTCTCTGAGGTCGTGTCACTGAAGTAAGGTTTGAGTGACGGGGTGAAGCGGTGGATCAGTGTTCCTCTCCACGGCGGCTCTTCATCCTCAGTCAGTCTGTTCTGCAGCTGGCAGATGCTGTTGGTGGAGGAAACCTCAAACTTCGGTGTTTTAACTGAACTTGAAGCTGCAGCTGTGCCAGCCTCCGACAGCGAGAGCTCAACCTCTGACTCGCAGACTCTTTCAGGTTCACTCTGACATCGGTACCGTCGGGAACTCGCTCCTCTGCCATGCCGCGGTCATTTCTCGTCAAGTGCAAAAGGTCTCAGCTGCCGGGACCTCACAGGGACTCCTGCAGACCCTGGGCCCTGGACCCTGGACGCGGCGTGGACAGTTTGAGGACTGGGGACAGGGGACAGGCTCCAGGGGTCAAAGGTCTTCTCACCGAACTGAACCCCCCGCTGGACGGGACCCCTGTCCCACCACACAGTGAGATCAGAGCAGAGCACGGCCGCTCAGGTACCGTTTACGGCCTTTTATTACAACAACTTTCTTCAAATCTTTTCAGATGAAAATGATTTTTTTTTCTTTTATGATTTTCTTGAAATTCTTTTTGTACATTATTTTAGGGACAGCTTTTTTTGATACGTTCTCATCTCTGTGGTCTGGTGGCGTTCTAGTTTCACCGTGGACGCCGCGACCACAGCAGTCGACCGACAGAGAGCGGGAGCTGGAGGAGCTGCTGCTCATGTTCCTCACACACACGAGCCACACCGACCTCAGCTCTCCAGTCAGCCACTGTCTGCTCTGTGTCAAGGTAGGGTTGCAGCCCACGTGGACCAGGACCTCATGATGGTTCTGATGAGAGCCAGACGATCCATCAGAAACACAACACACACACACACACACACACACACACACACGTGGTCTGGTCTGATCAGACTGATCTGTTTTTTTTTTAACTAAAAACATTTATAAATCATGAATATATTGACAGTAGTAGTAGTAGTACTTACTAGTAGTAGTTGTTTGTGTATTTGAAGATGTAGTAAATGTTCTGAATATTCTTGATTGTGAAAAAGTTAATATCCATTAAAATGTCTTTAATGACAGTTGGAGTCAAACCAGGTCAACTCATGGATAAATCATTTGTAGTACTGACGCATGAAAGTACACGTACACGTACACGTACACGTACACGTACACAATAAATGATGTGCAGGGATTCCAAACCAGCCTTGAGCGCCCCCTGTCCTTCCACAGTCTCTGTCTGAAGTCCTGCTCTCACGTGGACTCCACACTTGGCTTCCATCCCGCAGCCCGTCTGACACCGGTTCCACGTCCACTGCAGCCACAGGACGGTCACACGTGGCCCGCGGCTGCGGCAGAACCAAGGTAGAACACAGTCGTGACCTGAACCTGAACCTGAACCTGAACCAAGTTTTGTTTTGAAAATTGATCAGATTCTCTCCGCCTCATCGACCTGGTCCACGTCTCTGACCTACAGTCCGTCCTTCTTAAAAGATCCCGCTGCTGCGGCCGCTAACACCTCATACTAGCTAGCTAGCTAAAAGAACAGAAAACAAACGTCTTTGGAA